GCCAAGTAAACGAAGTGTTACAATGTGATCACATTTTGGTTAAAATTATAAAGAGTGCAACCTGATTTGTCTGAATGTTTGGCTGTCGAATAATGCTACATTCATACATCTAACTACCAAATCGTATTTTTAAAAACCTTGTAACGGTAATAAATACGAACTCATTATAAACTTTCTTGAACACTACAGTCCAGCTACGTTGGTCATTTACTGACTGTCCGAATCATATATGACAAACGGACGTTTTCTTGGAGCTGACGTTGTAGCCGCAAGTAGAGAAATGTTGATTTCACAGTTGTTAAAAAGTGTAGTCGGTGAACGAGAAATTGCTCGACAAGAAGCAATTTGGTTCACAGTTCTAGATTCGGGCGTAGCTCGACTAAGAATATCGGAAATGTGGTATGATCTTCCACGGAGACAGTATCGTAGTGCTGTAAACTTAAAAACATTTTTGTGCCCAGTTATCTTTATGATTTGGTGTGGTGGAATACGGCTTTCGTCAGGGTTTGTACAGTCGTCTTCCGAACAGAGTAGTTTGTTTTTCTTTCGGTAAAGGACATGGAAGCGGCAGCTCGGGGTATGAATGATGCTATCTTTTTTTCCCTATCGGACGAGAAGAATAAAATAAGTGAGTTGACACGAGATGCGGGAATCGGTTGGATATAAAACGGACCGTCGAGCCCGCATGTATTAATCGGACGGTGTCGAACATGCTCTCTATAAATTTTGACAGGGACCCTGGAACTGTCGGGAAGAGCAAACATACGAGGGGGGACCACATGCCGATCATCATACTTTCCATCACGAGTCTTAGTGTCGCATTCTTTGAACTGCAGAAATCCCGGCCGCGAAGTCCAAAATGTTTGGTAAGTAAATACCACAGCGTAAAATTTAGGGTGTCTCCATCGGCGGTCCCTAGTTTACCTTCTTTCCACATTGCGTCTTCTTCTTCCGGAGATATTGCTTCACTGACGTGACTACCGCAACCGAGGCCAGTTTTCTTGAGGAGCATCTGTTTTGCCTTCAAAGCATCATTTGTCAACGAAAAGTGTTTATCACACAGAGATACTCTGTAGTTGTTTTTGGTGAGATATCTTTCTAAGCTATGCTTTATTGCAGAGACGGATCCTGGTTCATAATCAGTTCCTTTCTGTTTCTTCAAGTTAACAAAGAATGTGGCCAATTACTCGTTCAGTGTCTTACCTTACGATGGTCGGCATATCGGCTCTGAATACAACTCCGTATCTTTGCGACATCTGGTTCAGTTATACGAACTGTGCTTGCTTTTCGTTGTGATTTTATAAAATCGTCCACAGCATATCGTCAGCCATTATCGAAGCGCAGACGACGTTGTTTGTAAACAGAAAGTAGTTCCAGGAAATAGACGCGTTTACCAAATTATGGTAAACGGGGCCCGGGCGTGATATGGAAAATTATTGCACGGCTCGCGCATTGGGATTCCCATAGCGTTACGAGGTCAGGCAATACACGGTATATGTTAATAACAAATAAATTATCCATACTCACCTACTTACTCTGTACAATTCTGATAGATGTTTTGCAAATATAAGATGAGAACTAAAGTTTGACTTCTTGTAGCTATTCCACATTTCAAAAGTACACTTGTCTAAGTAGATTTGGATTCTTTACTTTCTCATTGTGGCAAGACTGAAAAAGGAATAGTAAAATTAAAG